TAAAGTAAATTTACCCTAGGAAAACAAGATATTTTGGGAATTCACTAATGCTAACACTGCACTTGGATCCTAGAGCCACTTTGCATCTGCCCAAATCAGCTAGAGAAAACAACAGCCAAGTGACACCCAGCAAGCAACAAAGACTTGTTTCTTCCATTTACTCAGTTGGGATGGTAGTAATAGAAGGATATGTGTGTTACTTTCCCCTTAATAGTTAACCTTAGAAATCAAAAGTCGACCAGGCGCAGTGGCTCACACCTACAATCCCAGCCCTTTGGGAGGCCTATGAGGGTGGATCACTTGAGGTCAGGAGTTTGAGACCAGGCTGGCCAACATAGTGAAACTCCCTTTCCTACTAAAAATACAAAAATTGGGAGGCTGAGGTGGGTGGATCACAAGGTCAGGAGATCGAGACCAACCTGGCTAACACGGTGAAACCCTATCTCTACTAAAAAATACAAAAAATTAGCTGGGCGTGGTGGCGGGCACCTGTAGTCCCAGCTACTCAGGAGGCTGAGGCAGAAGAATGGCCTGAACCCAGGAGGCGGAGCTTGCAGTGAGCGGAGATCGTGCCACTGTACTCCAGCCTGAGCAACAGAGACTCCATCTCAAAAACAAAAAACAAAACAAAACAAAAATTAGCCAGGTGTGGTGGCAGGTGCCAGTAATCCCAGCCACTGGGGAGGCTAGGGCAGAAGGATTGATTGAACCCAGGAAGTAGAGGTTGTGGTGAGCCACAATCACACCACTTCACTCCAGCCTGGGTGACAGAGTGAGACTCTGTCTCAAAAAAAAAAAAAAAAAAAAATCAAAAGTCAATAATCTGCATAACATCATAATCCTTATCATGTATCATGCTTGAATTTGAACAACATAGTTTTCTGTCTTCATTTTGATTTGGGCCTCAGGAAAAAAAAATCTCTTGGATGTGATTCTTTACTCTTGGATCATGCAAAAGGGTTAGCTTAGATGCAATATTGGTTATCTGTTTATGTATTAAAATGATTCCAAAAGTTAGCTGCTTGAAACAACAGACATTTGTTATCTCGGTTTCTTGGGGTCAGGAAATTGGGCACAGCTTTGGTGGGCACTTGTGCCTCTCACAAAGCTGCAGTCAAGGGGGCTGCAATCTCATATGAAAACTTGATTGTGGATGGATCTGCTTTCAGGCTCACTTGTATGGTTATTGGAAGGATTCCATTTCTTATGGGCTGTTGGACTGAGGGCCTTAGTCCCTGCCTTTCTGTTGCCTGGAACCACCATCACTTCTTTGCCATATGGGTCTTTCCATAGGAAAGCTGGCTTCTACTGTAGCAAACAAGAGAGAGAATAAGATCCGGCCACAAGATGGAAGTCACAGTCATTTTACAACCTGGTCTACTGACATGCCATCCCTGTTACTGTACTCTCTTCATTATAAATGAGTCATGAGGTTCAGCCCATACTCAAAGGAGAGATTATCCAAGGACATGAATACCAAGAGGTAGGGATCACTGGGGACCATTTTAAATGCTTCATACGTAGATTTGATTCTGAAATTGCTATATGATGGAGAGTTATTTTGATGCAATACACGCTATGTTCTAGGACAAATTCTTAATTATTTGTGGTGATGTGGACTAATACCTTGAGAATGAAGACTAAATCATAGGGTCAAGAAAATATGATCAGATTAACTATTTCTTGATAATTGGAAACTGTCCCATTGTGGTCAAAAACAAACCAGAGTTCAAGCCAAGTGGAAGCTCAGGGCAGGATCCACAAGTATTGAACCATTTTCCAACAAGGTGGGATGCCCATAGAACTGAAGCTTCAGAAACTTATATTTGTACAATGAAATGCACCTGCTGCCTGTTAACCAACTCCTCTTGCTTGTCCTTCCTGGCTATATAAACCATTAACTTTGTCACTGGTGAGGGGACAGATTTGGGGTTTGTCTCCCATCTCTCCAACTGATGTCACCTGAATAAGGTCTTCTTCCTGACAATACTTGTCTCAGTGATTGGCTTTCTGTGCTGCCAGCAATGAAACCTAGACTGAACCTCTAGCATTTGGTAAGAGTATTCCTATTAAGTTGCTACCTGTGAGGGGCAGAAATCCCATATGGGGCCGAAGGAAGAGTGAGTTAGTTGAGCTCTGAAAGGAAAAAGTCACGTGGACCCGAGAGCTACATACAATGGGAGGAGTAGAAACTCAAGTGCATATTTCTTACAAGGACGAGCAGATTAGGATAGGGAATCAGTCTTACCATCTAGGCATGTGCTAGGAAAGATTGAGATGCTCTAGAAGGACTCTGGAGCCTGAGGCAAAACACTGTTCTTGAAGAACTAGCTATATCAGCTACCCAACATTGCTCTTTTCTTTTTTTTTTTTTTTTTTTTTTTTTTGAGACAGTCTCACTCTGTCACCCAGACTGGAGTGCAGTGGCATGATCTCAGCTCACTGCAACCTCTACTTCCCAGGTTCAAGTGATTCTCCTGCCTCAGCCCCCCGAGCAGCTGGGATTACAGGTGTGCACCACCACGCCTGAGTATTTTTTTGTATTTTTAGTAGAAAAGGGGGTTTTTCCATGTTGGCCAGGCTGGTCTCGAACAGCTGACCTCAGGTGAGCCACCTGCCTCGGCCTCCCAAACTGCTGGAATTATAGGCATGAGTCCCTGCACCCAGCCAGATGTTTCTTAAAGAGAGGAGAAACTTACTTATCTAAATGCATAGAAGGCACCAGGAGAAGGGGGAAGGGGGCAGAGTCCCTGAGAAGGCAAGAGGGCATGGGATCCAGGGCACAGACGGGATCAGCCTGAGAGGAGAGCCCAGGCTTCCATCTGAACTAGGATGGAAGCAGGAAAGAGGTGTGTGGATTCAGAGCAGTGTGTGGGACTGGGGCCTCAGGGAGTTTTAGACATTCGGCCTAAGAATGGATGGGAGCAGGCCGAACGCGGTGGCTCAAGCCTGTAATCCCAGCACTTTGGGAGGCCGAGGTGGGTGGATCACGAGGTCAGGAGATCGAGACCATCCTGGCGAACACGGTGAAACCCCGTCTCTACTAAAAATACAAAAAAAAAAAAAAACTAGCCGGGCGAGGTGGCGGCCGCCTGTAGTCCCAGCTACTCGGAGGCTGAGGCGGGAGAATGGTGTGAACCTGGGAGGCGGAGCTTGCGGTGAGCCGAGATCGCGGCCACTGCACCCCAGCCTGGGCGACATAGCGAGACTCCGTCTCAAAAAAAAAAAAAAAAAAGAATGGATGGGAGCAGTGGGGACACTGCCAGGGGACCCAGCATAGAGGCAGGGGGAACAAGGTTATTTGGTGGAGGGGTAAGCTGACAGCATTTCCCTCCTTCGGCCTCATGCAGTAGCCTTGGGCCTCCGCGGATAAGCAGGTCTTAGGTATCATGGGAGGGAGGAAAGCAGGTAACTTGCCCTGAGTACCTGCTCTTGACCAGACCCCAGCATATGTCACCTATAGGCATCACAGCATTTTGTTAGGGAAGTGACAAGCCCTACCTGCGGTCTTCCAGCTTGTAAGACGAAGAGCCAGCTCTGCACCAAGGCCCATCTGATTTCCAGTTTACACCACACTGTGTGCCCAGGACCGGAGACAAGCCAAGAGCTACCTGGGCCTGACTTAGGTGGGCTTGCTAGCACCGCTTTGAAGGTGAAATCCATGTTTAGCCACCTAGTCAGTATCAGGGAGCCTGGGAATGTCACTGGGGCTCAGTGGAGGCAGCCAGAGCTCCGGGAGCGCCTCTCTGGGTGTATTTGAGCAGTGAATGGTGTCACTGGCAGTCACTGGCATGAACCCTGTGGTGCCGTTGATCCCACACACCTAATGTCCTGGAGGAGTCACAGCGAGGGCCCATCAGCAGCCGCTCCAGGATAGAAGCCCCGGGAAAGGGGCTGTTAATGATGTTGACAAATTTCTGGCTGGGCTATTATGGGATGTTAATGCATACCCTCAAACAACACGTTTCCACCTCCCACGTTTTCCCCCTGCTGCTTTGATTGAGAAAACCATAGCGACCGAAAGTGCAAGATTTATACAAATTGTGTAGCAGGGGATTGGGCTGTAGGCAGGGGAGCCCCCTTGGGGAGGCATTTACCTTTTCAAAGTAGAGGGGAACAGGTGCTCTGGAACTGGCACGTAGCTGTGAGAGGGTGGGGATGGCATTCCTGAAGGGAAAGGTTACCCAGATTAACAACACTCCACTGAAAACCATGCCATCCTGGCTCTGTCATTAAAACAGGTGGCTGTCATTATGGCCTCTGGCTCATAATGGGAAGATAATACAGGCTGGGAGAGATTTATATAGGCCCCAGAAAGATGAAATTGCACATCAAGAAGGAAACAAGACATAAAGAGGACCAATTTGGGGAATTTCTCTCCCCACAGGAACGCACGTGATACTCATTAAGGGTGTAGAAATTGTGCCATTCTATCCAGAGGGTTAAATTACCTACAGAGCTTTCATTTATTCGGGTTTTATTTAAGTAGCCTTCGGGGAAGACTCCTTTTTCCCTCTTCGGATGTTTTCCTTCAGTTTAAGAGAGTAGTAAGCATAAAAATGTACTGTATATGATAAAACTTACCCCTTTTCTTTCCCTGCAAATAATGTTGGCCTCTCAGTGGACTGTTGGAAATCAAAAGGTAGGGGGATATATGTTCTCTTTTTCTTTTCCTAAAGAGATAAAGTTTTAGGGTTTTTGTTTCTGTTTTTGTTTTTGTTTTTAATTTAATAAACACTCACGTGGTGACCGCCAGGCACTATTCTAAGCCCCTGACAAATGTTAATTCATTTAATACAATAATACTTCTAAGGTAAGTTATTTTATTGACTCCATTTAGAGAGGAGGTATAGAGAAGTACAAACCCTCTGTACTTACCTAAGTTCATACAACTAGGACCTCATGCGCTTGGGGTTGCCACCTATGCAGATTTGCTCCAGAGACTATGTTCTTAGCTGTCACAGTCCTCTGACTATACTGCGTCCGTTTCCATTTTAACGGGCATTTAAAGGATCCGTTTGTCCCATCTTTGAGTCTCTCTTCTGGCAAGAACACATTTTAAGATCTCTGCCCATGAGGAGTTGTTGCATTAAGGTCGATAAGATGGAAGGATGGCAGCTGTGCTGGAGCAGACAGTGGTGTTTTCCATTGCACAGGCATCTTTAGAATGTGCAGAGCATGTCACAGGCAGGCCTGGAAGGCTTTGCTGTCCTTGCTGTAAGATCGGAGAAGGCAAGGAAACCTTTCAGTCCGTTAGAAGCGCACAGGCTCACTTTCAAACACAAAAGCTCAGCACACACTTAACTCTAGCCAGCCCCTTACCCGCTGCAAAAAAATCCTACCTTTCCATGCACGGTTGGAAGGACATTTCTCTGGCGATCCTGAGTGCATTTTTTCCTGAAGATTTAGAACTGATTGGGCACAGATGGGAGGCAGGGTTATTTACCATTTTCCTCACCCTCCCTGTTCACCATTTGACACAAGAAATGAACAGCTCTTTTGCCTTACAAGGCATAGCCAGATTGCTAAGTAATTACCTTGATTTATGAGGGCAGGAATAGAAGGTAGCATGAAACATCATTTGTAACTGGGGATGGTCAGATTACCATTTCCCGAATTTGTCGATTATTTCATGTTGTGTTGAATTCCTAACAAGCATACGAAAGAGGGAAATGGTGTCCTATTACCTCTGTGTCCTCAGTGCCTAGAACAGTCCCTGGCTTTCAAGTTTATAGAATCAAGAAATGTATGAGGGAGTGAGCACCTACTGTGTAGTCTCTGCTAGACACCCGAATACCTTCAGCTTTCTGCTTTCAAGGTCATGAGTAGCGTAAGAAGACAAATACACACATCTTCACCACAAAAGAAAAATACGGCATTTGAGAGAGAGAAAAATGCTTCCAGTTTGGGGCCATAGGAAAGTTTTCATGAAGAGTGTATTGGAGCAAGCCAGCAGAGGAGAGGTGGGACCCTGTAGGAGTTTGAGGCAAGAACGTCCAAGTATGGGAGAAAAATCACAAAGAATTGCCCTTGGGGTGTGAGATATGTACAGATCATGCAAGGGAATGAGAAAGCTGGATGTAGGGTTGGACACATTGTATGGGTGCCCACTTTTCTCAATTCAGAAATTCAAACATTCCAGAGGGTCTGAGCCTTTGTATTTTGCCAGAAACCTGGGCTCATCAGATCACACAGCTGGACAGTGGGCAAGTTCACATGGATGGAGAGATGGATGGAAACCACTTCCATAATACAGCCTGGTCTGCACCTTTTTCACCCATAGTCCTCCAGTTCTGTATTCTTGGTCCTCTATTCAATATCTCAGTACAAACCTTGCTTCCCACCTGACCTCATGCTGCACCTCCTGCAGCCCAGGAGATGCCCTCTGGGAGTTTACATCCAGCCCTTATATGTCTCTCTTAGCCAGGGTAGTAGCAGAAAAATAGCTAGCCTTAGGAGCATGCCCTGTGAGCTAGGCCCAGAGCGCCCTGCCCCGGAAGGAAAGGTTTGGATGGCTTCTAAATTTGGGGGCTGCTGTCCAAGCCACACCCTGTCTTGCGATGACACCTTCTGTGTTGGGCCTAAGACTTGATGTTCTGCTGTTTGATCAACCTTTATATAAATTTATGGTCTTCAATTTAACCTTTGGCTAAATTGGTTGTTTTCTGGACATTTTAGAAGGATTCGAGAATGTTCAGGAAGCCAAGGCTACATGAAGCCTCCCTAGGGTGGGGGATGCTTCTCTGCATGAAGCTCCATAGCTTCCTTTCTGCACAGTAGTCAGAACCTCTGAGCACTTCCTCTTCATTCTCTACCTATCCACATCCCTAGGACGGGCAGACCCTCCTGCACAGGGGCTGTCATGTTTTTACATTCTAAGTCTTAGGGTCTTTCAAACTCTCCATGGTCCTTCTTAGCATGATCAAACCCCTGTCTGAATTCCTCCGCTGCTGGCATTGGCTGGCTCTGGCTTTCTGCAAAAACGCTTACCTGTCTCTGTACCCATCTAAAAGGTGAGTTTCCTGCTCCTGACTGTGGAGGAGGAGGAGCAACTCCTTCACGTGTTCCAGACACTGCCTAGACCTAGGTTCCCCTAAATGAACATGCACACACAAACAGCAGGTGACAGCAGTATTTACCCAGAGAGAATTGGAGGAGGTGAGAGGACCATCTCTGAGGGAGAGAAGGGAAATTCAGGGTGAAAATATTTGCATGTGAAGTCTCACTTCATGGAGTTTGAGGGGGTCCTCTATACATGTGTTCCCTCATTCTCCAGGGCCACCTCCTCTCAGCTTTCTCCATCACATCCCCTTCCCATATTCTCTCTCCTTTCATCCCTGTGCCACTCCCAAAGCCCCTGCACTTTCTAGAGCAATGTGTCAGTCCCCAAACCCCACTCATGTCATGTGGATGACACGCCTCTAGGCGATCTCCCCAGGCCTGGCATCACCACTGTGGATAAGAGAGAAGGGGCATCCAGTGCCATGATGGAGGCCATCATGCCACAGAGGAGGGTGGCAGAAACTTCTCAAGCAGGGATGCATTAAGTTTTGTTTTGTCTTTTAAAAACCTCACCCAAAGGCCAGGCACGGTGGTTCATGCCTGCAATCTCAGCACTTTTGGAGGCTGAGGCAGGTGGATCATTTGGGGCCAGGAGTTCAAGACCAGCCTGGCCAACACAGCAAAACCCCATCTCTACTAAAAATACCAAAACAAACAAACAAAAATTATCCAGGCTTGGTGGCAGGCACCTGTAGTCCCAGCTGCTCGGGAGGCTGAGGCATGAGAACCACTTGAAGCTGCGAGGCAGAAGTTGCATTGAGCCAAGATCACACCACTGCATTCCAACCTGGGTGACAGAGTGAGACTGTCTCAAAACAAAACAAAACACACACACATACACACACAAGCTCACAAATTCAGACTCACTTTACATGACTTGGATCAGTTTTGACTGAAAACCCTTATTTTGCCTGCCTGAGACATTCACTTTCTTTTCAGGTTGATGGGACTTTGCCTTTTTCAATGCTAAAAGGGCACAGTATCCCTTTTCTAACACTTGGTTGCTTGACAGTCTTCTCTGATTACCTTGGCAATGTCTGGGGCCATATATCATCACGCCTCCCTCTCCTGCTTCCTGAGTTTATCCCCTGGCCGCAGGAGGCGAGTTGAGGTTGTGCAGGTTCCCTGGGTTTCTCTACCTTGACCTTGTCTTCTTGAAGAGAGGCAGGAAGTTTGCACTGGGAAAGGGCCAGGGCCTGAACCATGGTTCTGAGCATTTCTGAATCTTGGAGTTGCTAGAACCCCAGAGGTCATTACTAAGAAGAACCCAGGCCGGGCGCAGTGGCTCACGCCTGTAATCCCAGCACTTTGGGAGGCCGAGGCAGGTGGATCACGAGGTCAGGAGATCAAGACGAGGGCATCCTGGTTAACACGATGAAACCCCGTCTCTACTAAAAATACAAAAAATTAGCCGGGCTTGGTGGTGGGCACCTGTAGTCCCAGCTACTCGGGAGGCTGAGGCAGAATGACATGAACCCAGGAGGTGGAGCTTGCAGTGAGCCGAGATCACGCCACTGCGCTCCAGCCTGGGCGACAGAGCAAAACTCTGTCAAAAAAAAAAAAAAAAGAAGAAGAAGAAGAAGAAGAACCCAGTGCAGTATGTGTGTTTGAGGACGGGAGGTGCAGGTGAGAGACTGGCCACTCTCATAGGCTTCTCTCTGTGGTCCCAGCAAGGGCTGGGTCTGAACAAACAAATGGGGCAAAAGGCTCCAAAGAGTCAGAATTTCACATGGGGACCGATAAAAACAAAGGAAATGTGTGATGGTCTCATAAACAGTGATAACTGCAGGAAGAAGTGATACCGTTCTTAATGTTCATTTTATTCTGTGTGTGTGAGGGAATACGTATGATTTCTTTAATAGCACCTTACCATGGGACTGCCTCACTCAGGGACGTACAGAAGAATGGCAGAATTGCAAGGATTTCATGAGGGTCACATGAAGAGGGACTCTGGGGACCATGAGTCCCCATTGCTGCTGCCCTCTTTTGGAAATTAGATATCATTTACTTATTTATCATTTTTGCACATCACATTGCAACTTTCCTAATTAAATTGCCTCAGGGCACAAGTACAAAATATGAAAGTTCAGTTAAAGTGTCTAAGACAGAACAGCAGCGGCTATCAGCGCGTATTAAATATGCCTCTACTGCAAAAAAGTGTGTCATGCGTGGCATCCGGAAATCTAGGCCTGTGCCGAGCCAAAGGAGAATTTCCGTGGAAAACACCTTGGCAGTCAAAGGTGAGAACAGTCAGATTTGAGCATTGTGGTGTGTGTATGTTGCAGTGGTTATTCTCTCATGATAGGATTGTGGTAACTCATGAAAATAGCTCCTGTTACAATTTCAAACCCCTCTATTTCATGATCTGTTATTTAGCTAGACACTTGGTGTCTACAAAAACCAGCTACCAAAGCCATCAGAACAAATTCTTCAAACCACTGGGAACTCAACTTCAGCACCATCCTCCTTTTTTTTTTTTTTCCTTTTTAGAGATGGGGTCTCACTCTGTTGCCCAGGTTGGAGGTATGATCATAGTTCTCAGCAGCCTTGATCTTTTGGGCTCAAGCCATCTTCCCACCTTGGCTTTCTGAGTAGCTGGGACCATAGGCACACACCACCACACCCAACTATATTTTTGTAGAGAGAGGCTTCTTGCCACGTTGCCCAGGCTAGTCTTGAACTCCTGGACTCAAGTGATCCACCTGCTTTGGCCTCCTGAAGCACTGGGATTACAGTCATGAGTTACTGTACCTGGCCCTTCTTCAACACAAAAAAAAAGATTGTTATAGTATCAAATATTCAAGCCCTTCATTGCAAAAAGTTTCTGTTTGGTGAACAAACACCAGCAAAGGGGAAGGGTGATTGAGTGGCTGAGGCTGGCTCCATGCCATTTTACTCCTCCAAGGACACTAGTTTTAAAGATTGAAAACCACAGCCCTCCCATTTCACTCGGTGTTCAGTCTTTCCACTTCACCTAGTATCTGCCCCTTAGAGCCAGCCCTTGAGTAACGAGGAAAGAAAAAGTTCATGCTTTTCCATTTAAATCAAACTCTACTCTCCTAGAAAGACAGGAGAAGAAATAAAGAGATTCCTTGGGTTCTATCCACCTACCCAACCCAGGCCCAGCCTTTCTCCTCCTATGGGCCCACCAGTCCAAACACAATGAAGTCAGCATCAAGCTGGCACAAGAGGGGAAGGGGCATTAGGTGTGAAGAGACCTCTGGATCCCATCTCCAAAATGCCAGGCGCCTCCTACACTGACCAATGGCTCCTCGGTCTTCTGCATGCTGAGCTGCTGGAATTGGCCGACAGGCCACAGAACACCTTGGAAGCTATGATCCCAGAGAGAAAGGAGAGTGGAGTCCAGGTGGCACCCTCTATGAGCACCATATTCAGTGGCTACCCTGAGTCATCAGCTGAAGCCCCAGAGCTGCTCTGCAGGCATCCAAGGGGCGTATCTTCAGCTCTTTTCAAATGTCAGAAAATGGCAACCGGGAATTACTATGCCAGTATCAGCACCTTGGTTGTACGATCTAAGAAAAGAATCACGTCACGGCCGGGCACGGTGGCTCATGCTTGTAATTCCAGCACTTCGGGAGGCCGAGACGGGCGGATCATGAGGTCAGGAGATCGAGACCATCCTGCTAACACAGTGAAACCCCGTCTCTACTAAAAATACAAAAAACTAGCCGGGCGAGGTGGCGGCGCCTGTAGTCCCAGCCACTCGGGAGGCTGAGGCAGGAGAATGGCGGGAACCCGGGAGGCGGAGCTTGCAGTGAGCCGAGATCCGGCCACTGCACTCCAGCCTGGGCGACAGAGCCAGACTCCCTCCCAAAAAAAAAAAAAAAAAAAACAAAAAACAACA